GAAGCACATCAAGCAGAACGGTCAGCGGTTGAAGGAGGAGTTCTTGGCTTGTGCCGCAGAGGAGAACCTCCGCTTCAGCCCGGGCGAGATGGTCGAGGCGAGGGGTCCCAACGGCTGGGAGCCCGCCAAGATCATCAAGCTCTGGGATGAGGGGAACCCCTATCGCCTGGAGATCCAGGACAAGCGCAAGACCAACGTGTGGGGGCCATTCGATGACGAGCGCTTTGTCAGACAGCGAATCAAAGCTTGAAGACAACTCTATGAGCCTTTGGCATTTAGTTCCCATTCACGAGTATGTCAGACCCAGCCATGTACAGCTTGAGGGACGGCATAGTGAATTCTGCATGCTACACCGCTGCAGATGGAATCTCAGAGGTGACTTTTTTGCAGTTTGCTGCCTGCAAAGGCCTTAGAAAGCATTGAGGGGTGGTGTTTATCCAGTACTCACAGCGCCAATTTTGTGTACACTGCGATACGCAGTCAAGAGCCGCAGACAAGCTGTGCAAGAAAAAAAGCATTCGTTTCTCCTGTCCTTATGTTGCTCATGTAGCTCCATGTCAACGGGGTGCAGACTGTTGCTACGGGTTGCGGAGTGCAATCCTGGCGATCGAAGCAGATTGCCCCCAAGACTCAAGTACCTGGCAGAAAAGCATATTGAATCCTTGTACATCAGACTAAAAAGTCGGATTCTTGCACCTCAAGAAGCGGATCCCGCAACTTCAGAGATGGCAGATCGTGTGGCAGACTGATCGATCAGCCTGCCACAACGCACTATCCTTTTTGCCATGCTTCACCCTGTCAGTCTCAAAGCAATGACCCTCAGACCCGGATTGCTCTCAGAGCTTCGCCAGGAGAGTGGCGCCAACGCTCCAGCCGATATTTCACCCGAACCTCTCCGGACTGCAGAAATGCACGTGAGCCCAGCTCTCTTCCATCGCCTGGGTGAGCCAAAGAACAGTGAGGAGGTGTCCTGGATGATTCCGCCCGATCTTGCCGGACACTCGGGGCAACTGGTTGCAGAGGACCTGGAGCCGATCTCTTTCGTGATCCTCGAGGCCAGTGAGCTGCTGAAACACATCAGCGAAGCTGCGGCCAAGCTCGAGTCCATCCCGGCTGTGGCGCAAGACGCAGCCATCATGTTGGCACAAAAGCTTCCTTTCCAGTCATCGCGCAGGCAAGACCTCGGATGAGTAGCCGTGGATAACCCAATTGGAAGATACACTCGCAAGTACCTGATTTTGTGTTTACCTTTTTGTTTGCCTTGTTTTTGTTGGATGCCTTAGCTGCAGGCGAGTGCTCATGCTGGAGGGTCTGAGCAAGGCCACTCAGGCGGGTGGCCTGCAGATGGAACTCACCCTTTATATCGAGGCCTCAACGTATCAATACATGCACAAACCAAACCCTGGCGCCTGTGCACACCCCCCGTGCTTGTCAACTCCCTGCCCACTCTGTCGCTCAAAGCCCGAACTCGGGATTGGTTAGATTTTGGCACCTTTTCCATTTGCCCCTCCATGGATCGGGAAAGTCCTTGCGCGCCTGTACGGGCTTTGGGGAGTGGGCCTTGAACTCCAACCGGGTGGCCGATGACGTGTATCGGAGGCTGCCCTGCGATGGTGGGAGGGACGGTTTCCGGTGGCTGCGGAGCCCTGCAGGTGCTCCATCCGTCCGTCCATCCATCCATCCATGCATCCATCCATCCCAATGCGGCCCACATCCCAGCAGGCGGCGTGCCGCGCTGATGGGGCAGCAGCCTATCAGCTGCTACCCTGCGCGGAGCTTGCAGTGGTGGTGCTGGATGTGGGCTGCGGTTGGCGCAGCTTGGAAAGTGGGAAGTGTGTGTGTCGCATTTTTCACGAAAGCTAGCTTTAGCTAGCTGAAGTTTCTCCTTGCGTAAGCAAGGTAAGGGGCTCAAATGCCGCAAGATTGATTTTTTCAATTATTTGAGCCGAAAAGATTGAAAAACATCAATTATTTAAACCCCCCCCCTCCCCCCCCCCCCCCCTCCCCCCCCCCCCCCTCCCCCCCGGTCTCAGGCTCGATTCCTCCCTGGTCCATCCCCCCCCCCGGGCAGTGGCTCAGTGTTCAGCAGTCTCGGTTTGCCCGTTTTGGACTTGGTGCTACGAACTTTTACATGTTCCACCGATTCAGCTTGTTCATTTGAGACCTCAGTCTTCTCGGTAAACCACCTCGCAAGAATCTTTGCACACGCAGCATGCAGAACCCAGAGGTGCTTTCAGACAGCTTCTGACGCCTCTCGTTGTTTTCATTTTTCAAGGTTTGCCACGCCACCATGTGCGGTTGCGTGTCGCATCCTACGAATCTTGCCGGGCCTCTCGTTGTACACAAGCTACCTATGAATCCACTCTGTCACCGACCCATCTCATGCAACAACTGCTAGCTTTCGTTCACCCGCTCCTCAAGTTGATGGGACCAACGTATTTTCAGATGGGAGCTCTTTTGGGAAACTTTTGATTTGAAAAAAGGGAACAACCCTCTGGATGGAATCTGGGTTACTTGAGAGGGCAAGCAAGCAAAACCTCTCGTGGGTTCCGCAATTGAGTGCGCCCCTTTGTTTTGAACTAAAGGCTTAGGTTGAGACCTTGCACGATGGAAAGAACTAGGATGAACTGGATGTGTTTGGCCTGGCCAGAATTGAGTTCCCTCGTTCCGCGTAGCCTCAGCGTAGCCTCCGCGTAGCGAGGACTGTTCAAGCATGTTCAAGTCCACTCGCCCACATGCCCGTCTTCACAGCCATAGCATGCTTGCTGCTACTACTACTGCTGCTACTACTACTACTACTACTACTACTAGTTACAGCCGGTAGTGCTACCACGACTACTCCCACTACCACTGCTACTGCTGCTACCACAACTACCCCCACGGCGACTACCACTACTACAACTTACTGCTGCTACTTCTACTATTACTACTGCTACTACTACTACTACTAGTACTACTAAGTACCACTACTACTACTACTACTACTACTACTACTACTACTACTACTACTACTACTACCATGACTACTACCATGACTACTACCATGACTACTCTCACTACCATTACTGCGACTACTGCTGCCACTACTGCTCCTACAACAACCAAAACAACAACAACAACAACAACAACAACAACAACAACAACAACAACAACAACAACAACAACAACAACAACAACAACAACAACAACAACAACAACAACAACAACAACAACAACAACAACAACAACAACAACAACAACAACAACAACAACAACAACAACAACAACAACAACAACAACAACAACAACAACAACAACAACAACAACAACAACAACAACAACAACAACAACAACAACAACAACAACAACAACAACAACAACAACAACAACAACAACAACAACAACAACAACAACAACAACAACAACAACAACAACAACAACAACAACAACAACAACAACAACAACAACAACAACAACAACAACAACAACAACAACAACAACAACAACAACAACAACAACAACAACAACTTCTACTTCTACTTCTACTTCTACTTCTACTTCTACTTCTACTTCTACTTCTAACTCTACTTCTACTTCTACTTCTACTTCTACTTCTACTTCTACTTCTACTTCTACTTCTACTTCTACTTCTACTTCTACTACTTCTACTACTACTACTACTGCTGCTGCTGCTGCTGCTACTACTACGACTGCTGCTACAACTACTACAACTAGTTACCAGTACTAGTACTACCACAAGTACTCCCACTACTGCTACTGCTCCCACTACCACTACTGCTACTACTGCTGCTACTTCTACTCCTTCTTCTCTTGCCTCTACTGCTACGACTACTGCTGCTGCTACTACTACACTAGTTACCACTACGAGTACTACCATGAGTACTCCCACTACCACGACTGCTACTGCTGCTACCACTACTACTCATGACTTCTACTACTACAACTTCTACAACTTCTACTAAAGCTACTACGACCACCGCTGCTGCTACTACTACTCCTACGGCTATGACAACAACAACTACTACTACTACCACTGCTACTACTACTGCTACTGATACTGTTACTGCTACTGCTACTACTACTACTACTACTACTACTACTATTACTACTAGCCCGTCACGTAGCCACGTATCAACAAATATGTTTCGCGTAGACTACGCTTAGCCATATTTGTAGGGCGTAGCCTCCTTAGGTATGTGCTGCCAGTGTATAGGCCCCGCACAATGAAAAGAAGCGCGGCTCAATGGTGAGACCCGCACGGATTTGCCACTGTCGTTGAAAAAGGGGGAAGCGCCTCAAGCATAAATGGTCGGCATCGAACCTCATGCGCATGAATCATGAAAAGCTTGTATAACATTTGGGGTTGCAATGTCTCGCCTTGTGTGAATTCCGCCCTTTCTCACACGCCGCTTGGCCTCCGTAAGGTTGCCGGGTGCACAACTCGCAGCCAGCTGAGACAACAAAAGGGTTCCTGCAAGCGTTGCTTCGGATAGTGCTGCAAGCTACTTGAGAAGCGCCCAAAACCTCATTGGTTTTTGCAGTAAATGGTACCTGGTTTCACAAGTTTCATAGGGGTTGAAACAGAGCCCGCATAACCTTTATGACTATGTCAGTAGAACCAAAGGTCAATGGATTTTGGGCCCTGTTCACTTTGAAGCATAACTGGCAGAGTGAGCCGGAATAAACGGCATCTCAGAAAGAGCGCCTTGCGCTCGGCGCCAATGATCAAGTTGTAGTGTAGGGCAAAGTTCCTTGAGTGTATCACCTAGGCAAAGGCTCTTGGTTCACCGCTTTGGGATGAGCAATCCTGAATAGGTGGCAAAAGGACTGCCAGCCAATGATTGCCAATGTCCATAGTTTAGTTTCTGTCCTGCGTCGAGTCAGCGTTGAGGCTTATTTGTAGACAGCCAACTGCCGACTGAAAGTCTGCTGAGCAGTCCTTTGCTTTGTGCAGAATGATCAGGGCAACTGGTTTTCAATTCATGGAGAGTGAATGCCAGGCTACCCTTGCAGAGCTTGGCCTGCAAGATGGCGACGTTGTTGTGGTGGTGGCGCCCCGCGCCCTGGGCTTAGCGCACTGCTTTGTTCTTTTCGCATTCAACCAACTGGTCGGTTAGCGTGCCATGACGGTGGGGAGGGCCTTCTCATGCTGCAAAAATGCTGCCTTGGTGCAATTCTGGCTCCGTTCAGCAAAGTAGAAAGTGCACATAACACGTTGCCAGAACAAAATAGGGCTGGCAAACTCATGTCAACCAGCCAATTGGCAGATGGCAGGTCTCTTTGTGTGTTCGAGGATGATGCAGCATTCTCAAAGAAGCTTGTGGAGGAGGTAACGGCTGCAGCAAATGCTGCTATCAAAGAGAAGGGCAGTTTCAGCCTGTGCATTCCTGCAGGCAGTGTTGTGTCTGCTTTGTCATCATTGTCGCCAACGGCAGTGGACTGGAGTAAGGTGAATGTCTTCTTTACTGGAGAGCGTCTTGGCCAGAACAAGTCCTACACAGCAGCTCTTGATGCATTCTGCCGCACCTGCAAGATTCAGAATGTCTTTTACCCCATCGTGCGGCCTCTTTTCAGCACTGGCACAGGGCTTCCAGAGTTTGCAGTGAAAGAGGCAGCAGCCGCGTACACCACCCTGTTGAAGAGCCACCCGGCAGTGGACAATACTGGCCCCTTGCCCTCCTTTGACATGCTGCTGCTGGGTGTTGGAGATGATGGCCACTGCGGGTCGCTCCATCCCAAGAGCGAGCACATCAAGGCTGTGGGTGATGGCACTATCACGTTCGGTATCCACAAAGCTGGGAAGATGCAGCTTGCTATCTCCATGGACGTGATGTGTGCTGCAAAGAAGGTCATCCTTGCGTGCACCCTGGCCTGAAGTGAAACGTGATTAATCAGCTCTGATTGAAACAACAAACGGGAGGTTCAGATAGCGAATGATGGGACCCTGGCGGGGGGAATAGCGTTGATATCAGGGTTTTCGTGGGTCTCCTTCCCCGGTTCCAGGCACCGGTGCGAAAAAGAAGGACGCAGTCCGCAGAGCACTGTCCGGCGAGTTCGAGCCCCACGACTGCCCGGCTGCTTTGGTGAAGGCTGCCTGCACCACATGGTACGTGGACAAGGCTGCGCTGGCCGACTTCAAGCCATAGTCCGGAAGGCCTCCAATGATTCACCCCATTCCATTGGAATCCGAAGCTGCATGCAAGCAATGGTCATTTGCGGTGCGACGAACGCCGTGATGGCATTTGTTGTCTTGAGCATCTAAGCAAATGCAGATGCGATCATAGTGATTGAGAGCGCAAAAGAGTGAGAGCAGAAATGCAGTGCGGTATGCCGTGGCGTGGCAGGGTGCGATTCAAGCTTCTGGAGAGAACAGCTGTCAACTGCTTTGGCTAACTTCGGCGTACTGAGCGTCGCAGTATCCCGCAATATGCCAAGGCACCCTTCCATGTCCGCGTCGCTCGGCAAGTCCGCTTTGCGATTTGCTGGCTGCTTGGAGGCCCGGATATAGGCAGCTGCAATGCTCACGGTGCAGAGTTGGAGGCTCTGCACGGATGCGTGGGCACTGCCTCCTGTCAGGTCTTTGGAGCCTTCTCAAGGCGGTTGTTTGCGCCTTGGGCGTGCTGCCGGGGACGATGCTGCGCTGGCTCATCAACGCATGGTGACACTGCCGAAAGCGCTAAAGAGGGGGTGTTGATCGGAATATTGGTGTTTGTGGTTGCCAGAATAGGCTGTGTGGAAGGGTGTCCTTTGTTAGGGGGAGGGGATTTGCCAGCAATCCAATCTGGAAAGGGAGACTCAATCCTCCCATCCCCCTATCAAATCGCAGGATTTGGCGGGCATTTCTGTTCAGCTCATTGCTAAGCTTCTGTTCGGGGATATCCTTTGGCCTGGAGCTTCTCAGAGAGGTACGACCCATGGAGTTTGGTGCGGCCGACGAGCCCCGAGGCGCGGCTCGCTGTCTTGTGAGTGGCTTCAGACTCGATTCAGGAGACAAACGAGACGGGAAACGGAGCAGCTGAGGAAGTGCTCGATGGCTTCGCTGGCCAGGTGAGAGGTCGACGCATTCAAACACTCGGCTTCTCCCCACAGATGCTGCGCTACGCGCCCGGCCAGAACCCACGCGGGGAGGACCAGCTGGCACTGTAAGTGATCTGTGGCTGATTCAGCTAGAAGATCAGCTTTGGTCGACTTGTGAGTCTGCGCTGGAAGAATGTGGAACTGAAGAACGGAGACGATGCACATGCTACAAGTCTGGCACCATGACATGCGCAGGGGATTTTACTGATTGGCACTTGAGCAAAACGCTAAACTCTCTCGTCATAAACTATGTCTTCGGCGATTTCGCGTTGCTTGTTTTGTATTTTTCCTCAGGAACGATATAGCGAAGCCCCAAAAACGATAACGTCGCATGACGTGCAACTGGCGCTTCGCGCTTCTATTTTGCACTGTGTGAGCCTTTTTTTGCCCCAAGCTGTAAGTTGCCATGACAGCTCCTGTCAATGCTCCTCGGCAATGCATGGTGGGCACATGTGTGCACGAGATGGGCCCACCCAGATGGATCGCTAACGCACCCGCGCACACGCACATGCACAGGCGCCCGCAGGCACCGGCGCACGCTACAACCTTCGAGCTGGAGCTGCCAAAGTGTAACTTGCGTACTGCGCTGGTACTGAAAGTTGCGACTTGCGACCTGGAAGTTGCAGCCAGCAAGCAAAGCCGCCAATGCTTGGGAGCCAGAGAAGCATAGTTTAGTCCGCTGATCACATGACTACCGCAAGGTAGAGAAGGCTCTTGCGCGCTTGCTTGGCTCTAGCTTATAGCAAGTTTGGTTTTTTCGTGGCACTACACGCGCCCAGAACGATACCCAAAACGACACCCCATCGATACTCCGAGAACGTCCCGGAGCAGCCAATGTGAGGCCTACCCAGTGCGTTTGCTTTTTCAACCACACGCGCAGCTCCTTCAGCGCACATCCTTCCGCGCACACAAAGGGCCCGCAACGGGCCAGGCCGCGGACGCCTTGGCGGGCTTGCGCTTGCTCCTCAGAGATCTGCTGCTGCAGGAGGATGGGAAGGCCTGACTTGCCCGAGCAGATCTGTGATCCAGAAGGCTTTGGAGAAGAGCCCGAGCTCCAAGAGTGCTGCCGCAGAAATTGCTGCACGCCTTGTTTTTGTGGTTGCCGGAAGGGCCAAACCATACCCACAAGCCAGCCAAACCATACCCACAAGCCACTGGACACTCAAGATGCGCCTATTGGGTGCTTTTGACCAATAAGCCACTCCCCGGCTTGTTGCTCAAAACTGCGTTCCCCGGCTTGTTATTTGGAGGTTGCTGGAAGGGCCAAACCATACCCAAAAGTAATTTTGGAGCGTCGGAAACACCTTTTCGGATCATTCGGGGGGTGTGAACTGCATTCTGGGCCACCGATTGCTCTCCTTCCTACTGCTCATGCTTCTTGCTTGCACCCGCAGGCGCCACAGTCGGCATGCCAAACCATACCCAAAAATAATTTTGGAGCGTCGAATTTTCGGATCACTCGGGGAGTGTGAACTGCATTCTGGGCTACCGATTGCTCTCCTTCCTACTGCTCATGCTTCTTGCTCGCACCCGCAGGCGCCACAGTCGGCATGCCCAAACCATACCCAAAAGTAATTTTGGAGCGTCGAAAACACCTTTTCGGATCACTCGGAGAGTATGAAGTGCATTCTGGGCCACCGATTGCTCTCCTTCCTACTGCTCATGCTTCTTGCTTGCACTCGCAGGCGCCACAGCCGGCATGCCGAACCATACACAAAAGTACTTTTGGAGCGTCGAAACACTTTTTCGGATCACTCGGCGAGTGTGAACTGCATTCTGGGCTACCGATTGCTCTCCTGCCTGCTGCTCATTATTATTTTTTTGCTCCCGCAGGCGCCACAGTCGGCATGCCCAAACCATACCCAAAAGTAATTTTAGAGCGTCGAAAACACCTTTGCGGATCACTCGGAGGCTGTGAACTGCATTCTGGGCCACCGATTGCTCTCCTTCCTGCTGCTCATGCTTCTTGCTTGCACCCGCAGGCGCCACAGTCGGCATGCCAAACCATACCCAAAAGTAATTTTGGAGCGTCGAAAACACCTTTTCGGATCACTCGGGGAGTGTGAACTGCATTCTGGGCCACCGATTGCTCTCCTTCCTACTGCTCATGCTTCTTGCTTGCACCCGCAGGCGCTACATTCGGCATGCCAAACCATACCCAAAAGTAATTTTGCTTTTCGGATCACTCGATGAGTGTGAACTGCATTCTGGGCCACCGATTGCTCTCCTTCCTACTGCTCATGCTTCTTGCTTGCACCCGCAGGCGCCACAGTCGGCATGCCAAACCATACCCAAAAGTAATTTTGGAGCGTCGGAAACACCTTTTCGGATCACTCGGGCAGTGTGAACTGCATTGTGGGCTACCGATTGCTCTCCTTCCTACTGCTCATGCTTCTTGCTTGCACCCGCAGGCGCCACAGTCGGCATGCCAAACCATACCCAAAAGTAATACCCAAAAGTAATTTTGGAGCGTCGAAAACATCTTTTCGGATCAATCGGAGAGTGTGAACTGCATTCTGGGCCACCGATTGCTCTCCTTCCTACTGCTCATGCTTCTTGCTTGCGCCCGCAGGCGCCACAGTCGGCACGCCAAACCATACCCAAAAGTAATTTTGGAGTGTCGAAAACACTTTTTCGGATCACTCGAGGAGTGTGAACTGCATTCTGGGCCACCGAAGTATTGCTTGCTCTCCTTCCTACTGCTCATGCTTCTTGCTTGCACCCGCAGGCGCCACAGTCGGCATGCCAAACCATACCCAAAAGTAATTTTGGAGCGTCGAAAACACCTTTTCGGATCACTCGCGAGTGTGAACTGCATTCTGGGCCACCGATTGCTCTCCTTCCTACTGCTCATGCTTCTTGCTTGCACCCGCAGGCGCCACAGTCGGCATGCCAAACCATACCCAAAAGTAATTTTGGAGCGTCGAAAACACCTTTTCGGATCACTCGGGAGTGTGAACTGCATTCTGGGCCACCGATTGCTCTCCTTCCTACTGCTCATGCTTCTTGCTTGCACCCGCAGGCGCCACAGTCGGCATGCCAAACCATACGCAAAAGTAATTTTGGAGCGTCGAAAACACCTTTTCGGATCACCCGGGGAGTGTGAACTGCATTCTGGGCTACCGATTGCTCTCCTTCCTGCTGCTCATGCTTCTTGCTTGCACCCGCAGGCGCCACAGCCGGCATGCCAAACCATACCCAAAAGTCTGTTTGGAGCGTCGAAAACACCTTTTCAGACCACTCGGCGAGTGTGAACTGCATTCTGGGCCACCGATTGCTCTCCTTCCTACTGCTCATGTTTCTTGCTTGCACCCGCAGGCGCCACGGGGAGTGTGAACTGCATTCTGGGCCACCGATTGCTCTCCTTCCTACTGCTCATGCTTCTTGCTTGCACCCGCAGGCGCCACAGTCGGCATGCCAAACCATACCCAAAAGTAATTTTGGAGCGTCGAAAACACCTTTTCAGATCATTCGGGGAGTGTGAACTGCATTCTGGGCCACCGAAGTACTGCTTGCTCTCCTTCCTACTGCTCACGCTTCTTGCTTGCGCCCGCAGGCGCCACAGTCGGCGTGCCAAACCATACCCACAAGTAATTTTGGAGCGTCGAAAACATCTTTTCGGATCATTCGGGGAGTGTGAACTGCTTTTTTGGCCACCGAAGTATACTTGCTCAACACGATACCCAAAACGACACCGAAACCACACCCCTGGTATTGCAGCGTTCGCATGGCGCGGGGGGTGGCCCATTCGTTGCAAACGCAAGCGGGCGGGAAAAGAGCTTGTGGACTCAGAGGTGGAGCCATAGCCCAAGTAAAAGGTGCTGCATGGTGCTGCTGTGCTTCAAGTTGTTTATAAGTCTCGCTTGCAGCTACCAAGTCACCGGACAGCAGTCCGGGCTGCGAGGCGCACGCACGCAACGTGTAGCTGGTTTTGGCACATGCCCTGGACTGAGACAATATGGGCAAAATTTTCTGGTTTTGGAGGGCTGTCTGAACGATACTCTGAACGATACCTCAACGACACCCGGAAAGCACAAAAGGCGGGCCACCGCTTACCCATCAATCAGTGGTGGTCAGCGTGCGGGTCCTGCTCCACCTCCGGGCGGTCTGGAACCAGCGTCAAAAAGCATGTCATGGAGCTGGTGGGGAGGCGCAGCATCTACACCCTTCCTGCCTTCCTGCCTTCCTGCCTTCCTGCTTCCTGCCTTACTGCCTTCCTGCCTTCCTGCCTTCCTGCCTTCCTGCCTTCCTGCCTTCTGCCTTCTTCCCTTGCTCCCTTCCTTCTTCTTCTGCCCTGCCTCCCTTCCTCTTCTGCCCTGCCTCCCTTCCTCTTCCTCCCTTCCTCTTCCTCCCTTCCTCTTCCTCCCTTCCCTTCCACCCTCCTTTTTCCCTTGCCCCATCCTTCCTTGTTCCCTTACTCCCTGGATTCCTTTATCCCTTCCTCCCCATCCTTCTTCCCTTCGTCCTTTCTCTCCTGCTCTCTCTTCCTCCCAGTTTCTCTTCCTCTGCTCTCTTCCTCCATTCTTTCTCTTTCCCCCTTCCACCCTTCCTTGACATAAACACAAGTGTCTGAAACATTGCAGAACGATATAGCGAAGCCCCAAAAACGATAACGTGTTGCTCGAAATCGCCCAAAGTAGTCTTAGGTTTTGCCTCTCGCTCACTTGCAAGTGCGCACTTGCCAATGGGAAAGAGTAGAAGGAGTTACAGCAACTGTAAAAGTGGTCGAACTAGCGCAGTAGCAGTAGTAGGTATAGCAACAGCAGTAGAGTGGCTGTGGTGATTGTGGTGGCGGTGGTGGTTTTTTGTTGTTTGAACGATGTTCTTGCAGGCTGGCTAGTGGCGGGGCACAAGAGCTAGGCTCGCTAGCACCCAAATCTGAGTTTTTCGACAATGGAATGGGTGTGTTTGCACCAAGGCGCGTATCCAGAGTTTCCAGAAGCATGCATTCAAAGTCATGTGTGGTAGTTTGTTGTTCGTTTGGTGAGGGTTTGGCTTCAATGTGACAAACATACACCCACCAACAAAAAGGTGTGACACCAGAGATTGAGAAAGTTGGCCGTTGAGAGGGTGGCAGCCATCCGGCCGCATTTGCTCCCTTGACATTTCACGCGAAACTGTTTGGATTCAGAGAGGGTGCATTCTCGATTGATTATTCAGATTGATTGCCAGGAAGTTCCATTTGCTTGGGTCTTGCCGGAGGATCTTACAGTCCTTCTGTCACAAGGCCTCATCGGCATGCCTGGACCTTGGCGATCCGGAAGGCCCACCCTCAAATCGAGTCAGTGAAACGCTTGGGCTTGTTTTTTGAGCTGGCTGGGGTTGCAAAGCGTTGCGTTGCAGTTGGGGCACGCTTGTGCCAAGGTAAGCTTCGTTGTGCCGCCTAGCCGCTTGAGGGAAAAGGCACTCTGCTCCCTGCGTAGGGATGACTTGGATGCCAGCATGCTGTTTCCAACACAGAGAAGAGGCAATGGGGATTCCCATTTTTCCCAGTTTCTCTGCGGTCATGCTGACATGCCCTGCCCATCGCTGGTGGCCGCAGGATACCACCAATTCAGACCTTGGCTTGTTCGACTCGAGGTTCAAGCATGTAGGGTAAGGCCAGCAAGATTTCCATCTTGTTGCCGCGCTTGGCTCTCAGCCAGGCAGAAATCACTCTTTCCGCCTTGTGCGTCTCAGACCGAGGCTGGCAGGACGCGGCACACAGGCATCATGCCACGCGAGAGGGGCCGAGATGGCTTTGACTTCAGCTTCATAAGCAACAGAGACGACAGCCACGCTCTCAATCGAAGGAAAGTATTTGCGCAGCAAGCGGTCTCCTTCAGGTCTGGGCTTCATTGCTGAAGAGGACTGCGTCAAGCAAAGCAAACTGTTTGTAAGCTGCGCAGCTGCTGTACTGCCAGCAGCCTGCAACCATCATTTAATGTGAATAGTTTTCCCATGGCAAACAAATTTATACGCAATTACACGCAACGTCACACATTGGCTCAAGGCTTAACGTATCATAATTCCCTGCAGTTAGGAATCGCTATTCCTCCCTACAGATAAACGGATTGCGGAAAAATCCAGGACTGTGGCATCACAGGAAAACAAATCGAGCGCTCAGTGTGTGTGTGTGTGTGTGTGTGTGTGTGTGTGTGTGTGTGTGTGCGTGCGTGCGTGCGTGCGTGTGCGTGCGTGCGTGCGTGCGTGTGTGCGTGCGTGCGTGTGTGTGTGTGTGTGTGTGTGTGTGTGTGTGTGTGTGTGTGTGTGTGTGTGTGTGTGTGTGTGTGTGTGTGTGTGTGTGTGTGTGTGTGTGTGTGTGTGTGTGTGTGTGTGTGCGTGCGGCTTCATATCAAGGTTTTGCATACATATTGAGGGAACCTTGTCAGCCAGATTTGCTTGACAGGTGCAGGGCCAAAGCCCTAAGCCCTGAACCCTACAAATCCAAAACCCTAAGTCCTGAACCCTAAAAACCAAAACCCTAAGCCTTAAACCCTAAACATCTAAAACCCTACACGGCGCCCATCCCACGCCCCCTCCATGATCAAGAAGCTGCACAGGACAGGGTGAACTGCCCCTTTTACCTCAAGATTGGTGCCTGCAGAAATGGCGACAGATGCAATCGGGCCGGAGGCCTATTTTTTTTTGTTCGAGTTCCGCCATGGCGCACGCATTGCCCCAACAGTGCGTGATCACACAGCATGCACGCATGTCAAGCAGTCGAGGTTAGTTTCCAGTTTAAATTGCAATTCCGTCAGCATCAAGTAATAAGCAGACTTGTAGCTGAGGTGAGTCACCATGCGATAGGCGAATTCAGTGGGGGCCATGATTGTGCTGGTTGGTTTTCAGAAGTCTCAAGAAAGAGCAGTGACGATTTTGCCGCGTAAGACTTTCTGCAGGGGCGGCCCTTGAGCCCCTAGCAACCTGTTCGAAAGGGATGGTAGCAAAGGCCTCACCAGCGGTGATTCATACCAATCGATCGATGGAATTGGTAGACCAAGGCCTTGCGGTTGTAGCTCTCAATTGCCCAGGTGATCACACGACTCACTCTGAACGTTGCAGTCCAGAGCTATGTAGCAAATCAAACTACAAACCAAACTGGTCGCCGTGGCCAACATGCAACCGTTCGGAGGAGAGATCCAATTAGCTTGGACACAGCGCCTTTTTCTGTGGCTGAGGCGCATATGAAGCCCACCAGCGGCAACACCATTCTGATCCCGCACATGCCACGGCCCCGATCTCCAACGTCCCCGGCGAGCAGGCTTCCCTCAGCGTCCTTTGAACTCCTTGGGATCCTTCTGTTTGAGATAGGGCAGGTTGGAAACCTGCATTGATGGCAATGCATGACTTTTGCTTGGACTCTAGGAATATAGGAGCGTGTTTTTGACACTCCCAGGCGCTGTATGAATTGCAGTGCAAGGCCCGAAGAAAGTCCCTAGGTCCTTGGAGGAGTAAACCTGCAGCACTTGCTTTGTTTGTAGCAGCCTGGCTTTGGGGGGTTCACACGGATGCTTGTGGCTGCTTTAGGCATTTTGGAAAACCGTTTTCCGCATGCTTATCACCCAGGAACCAGCCCAGGAGTTAGACCACAGCACATTTGCGCCCTTTCCAGCGACGAAGCAACTGAGGTATCCATGCATCCCAGAAGCCATGGCAGTTGCCAACGATGACGAGTGGGATGATGAGACCTATGCCCGGCAGCAGGTGCCTGTTTCGAGTGACCTCCAAGTGCCAAGCTAGTGACGTGCTGTGCTGCTGCTGCTGCTGCTAACTTTGACGAGTCAACGAGTCACAAGGGCTTTACTCGAAGCAAGTTCACCCTAATCTTCAGCAGTGTCAGCGGCAAGGAGCACTTGGAAAGCTTTTATGAGGAGGTTTTCTTGGAGCTTGCAAAGTTCGGCGAGGCTGTGTGAAGTGACTACTGCGTTGCATCAGCGTCGCTTTGCATTTTGACGTCTATGTTGCAGCACACCTCACCTCACCTGAGCACGGACATAGGCTGTTGTGGTGAAGGCAAGAGGCTTTATGCCCCCGCCTGTGCTGTGGCCTTTTGTAATCCCGTGCTGAGATGTGCTGAAGATTCAATCACATGACAACAGCGATCGCAAGGGTCACTATACGCAATATCTCTTTGGATAGTACTACTGAGAAGCATTTAGTCGTTCTTGTGCCCCACTCTGCGCATTCTGTTGCCCCCCCGAAACATGCAGACTCGCCATGGCACAAGTGAACAACAGGACCTCAGATTGATGGTGGACATGTGCACCAATTTTGCGACAAGGATCATAATGTGGGTTTGGGTCAAAATTAAAACACCGTTCTATTTTGGGTACCCACTATTTCACCCACAGCCATGTGGTGTTTGGGAAGCCAACAACTTGGTTGCGGGCCCATTGTGAATCGGCGCCCGTTGGCTCAAGTGCCTTGCAACTTGGAGGAGTGGAGGCTCCAGGCTCGGAGCCAAAGTTCGGGGGGGTTGGGCGTTGCAAGCGGAAGAGCCCCCCTTCGATGACTCTAGCATACAACAGACAAGGGTAGGTGTTCATGTGCCAATCTCTTTCTTCAGGTTTGGAATTGGGTGTGGGGGTAGGGCAAAGGTGGCCAGTACTGAGGCCATGGGTGGAGACGTGGCGCACCGAGGGCAGCTGAGCGCA